ATGTTACTGTGGAATCTTGGAAAAACATAATGTTCCTCCTCATATCTCTTTTTTGCCTAGTAGTATCAAGGGCTTTAATTTCTTTCTTTTTTTTTCCCCCAGAGAAGATTTCTAAAACAGTGGGGTAGATGGTGCTGTTCTCCAGCTGTCTATCTTTAGGAGTTTCCTCACTGGACTAAACACAGCATAATTTCTCTGTAATGTTACTGTGGAATCTTGGAAAAACATAATGTTCCTCCTGTTATGTGCAATAGATTCTTCTTTAATTGCAGCAGCTAAAAAAAGCTTCTATCTTTATAGCTGTGGAACCAAAGCGACGAAGTTTATGGTCTCTTACTGTCAGCAGGTTTATGGAAAATTTATAGTATATGTTCTGAGTTCTGAGTTTACCATTTTTCGTTGCAATACTTACTAAAACTAGTGCTGAAAAATGCCCATTATAGGATGGAGTTTTGCTACCTTTAAAGTTTCCTATAATTTGAACAGTCTTTGTATGGTATTTTTTTTTCATCTCCTTTTCCCTCAAACTGCTGTGTTATCTTGTCCAAAATGGAAAATATGTTCAGGCTGTTTCTTCCTCTTTTACTTTTTTTTTTTTAAAATCCCTATAAACTGAACTTATTTAGTTACTGTTCCCTGATGGCTTTCAGGATCTGTAGTTAATAGAAAATTGCTGATGTTCATGGCACTGAAAATCCCCAACTTCCTTCCAGTTATTTAGATAAGTTAAAGCAATATTTTCTATATTTATCTATTATTTTCATTTCTCTGTTTCTGAGACCACTTCGTTGGTGCTACAATATTTGCCATCAGTGGAATGAAGCTACTTTTTGAGTTCTTTTAAAGCTATGTTCCAGTTTTGAAATGTTGGACTAATGGTTCAGTTGAGCCAAACTGCACTATGAACAAGTCTGCTAATTTAATCTGATCACTCTAGTAATTTGTCAACAAATGAAAAAAAATAATCTAGAAGCAAACTGTTCATCAATGAAATGAAATAAGCAGAATTTGCCTTTAGAAACATATCTAAATATTTTTTCAGCTGTAAATGATGTTAATTTAACCACAGAAAACCAGCAATGTGATTTAGTTTTAGTGTTACTACTTTTGGTGCTTTATTAGTGCAATTTAGAGTAAATTCCCCACTCTGGAAAATCTGAGGTGGGCAGTGGAACTCTGGCCTATCCAGAAAAGGAGCACAGAAAGGCTGATATTTTAAATAAGGGAACACTTTCATTTATCTAATTGATTGATTTCTCATTTCCATGAGAAGAGTAGTGTCTGAATTCTCACTATTTCAGAAACTCATCTCAAGTCATTCACACTAAAAATATGTGTATGAAGATGCAATTTCTGCTTTGACCTTCCTTATGCTCCTCAATCCCAGTGGGCTGGTCCCTCCTATTTCTTCAGTATTCATTAAATGCTATTCTCTTTCCTTCTTATGTATACATAAATCTGGATGGATCAAAGAAAATCTTATTTGCATATTCCCGAACTTCAGAAATATAGCAAAACCCCCAATCTATACCAGATATAAATTTAGCAAATCTTCAGATTTTGTAGAACCAGTTTCTCTCTATGTGTCTTTGAAGACTTTCTCCTGTAGCACATGCTCAGTAGCTTCAAAAGAATATTAGACCTTCATTAAGGTGAGAGAAATACATAGGGCAGCTTGGCTGAAGTTGAATACACGTTAGTGGAGACATTACCTGATCTGAGAACGTAGAGTTCCCATTGACTAAGTATTTTTTGAACACACCTGTCCAGCACTGGAATGAAGATGCTGCAGCCAATTCATGTTTTTATTTACTCTCTCTTGTTACTACTTGTGACTTAAAAAAATCCCAAACCAACACAGTGAATGAGGCAAGCCCTTCTGTATGAGATCTACATAGTTTTAAAAGTATACATGAAGTGGGATTTAGCAAAACCAAATCTTTGTGCGGACTTTGTGCAAAAACCCACCAAACATTATTGTTGTGCCTGTACCCATTTCCATACTGTAATATTGCCATATTCTGTAACATGTAAAATCTGACATGTAATAGATCAGAGCAGTTAAACTGGGTGGTGGAGCAAGTCCTGGCCTTTAAGCACAAATGCCAGGTTTTAGAAGCCTAGATCTCATTTTTTTTTCTGGGGGGCAAGGCCACTGGCAGATGCATCTAATGCCATCTCTAAAGCAGGGTGAAGTACAAGTGTTAGTTAATTTGGAGCAAGAGCACAGTCTTTTCAAAAACCAGAGCCCTCTGATAATTTGTTGCATTTCATAGCTATTTCATGTCTAAAAATCTCACATATAGTAAGCAGAATAAAAACCTTATTTTTTTTAAGTATACTGAAATAAAAAAATCAACTTCTTCATGGGATTTGACTTGACTAACCCTCCACCTCATCCTTGCCTTTCTTGCTCTCCTGCTTTTCTTCTGCAGGAAAAGTAAGCCAGACATTACAGGATGCTCTCACAGTGGTTCTCAGCCAGTCCCCAAGATCTCATTGGTGTCACTCACATTGTTTTCTTTTGAAATGTGTACGAGGCTGTGTGCTGCACAGATACTGCAACTATCTGTTGCTGAGCCTTTTTAGTGGGAAGACTATGGCTTGTGGAAAGCTGCTTATAGGGTCCCTGGTTTAAATGGTACAGAGCAGAAGTGATGATGGTTCAAGTTAACCCTACAGTGTATTTTAATACTGTTTGCATATCATGGAAATTTTAAGTATTTGCCTCCTTGAAAACATCCCACCCCCACCAAATAATTAATGAGGTTTTAAAAAAATGCATTCATGGAACACTGAGGTTGCACAGGAGATGCTCAGAAGTAAACTCTCTGTTCATACACTTCTGTCTTCCGTCTTCTGCATAGCTATCATGCTGGAGCATTTTATTGCATGTCAATATAGTAATTCTAATGTAGCATACATGTTGGATAATGCTTTAGAAAAAAATTCAAAGTCCACTTTGTAGCACTACTGGTGGCAGGCATATTCACCCTAATTCTCAGATTACACAGTTTAATGTGAGATAATGTGGGTTTTTTACATATTACAAAGCACGACCTGAAATCTGTAAGAGCGACTGCCTCAAACTCGTAGCTGCCATTCATTTCAGGCTGTGCAGCCCTGCAGCCTGGCTGCTGAGAGCTATGCTTCCTTGCTGTTTTGTGAGTTTCTGCAGATGCACGTTCGCCCACTCTAAGGGAACATGCACACACTCTTTTTTCTCTCACACTGTCTGGCATATTTTCAGAATAACTCTTCGAAGACTTTCTGAACTGCTGGGTATGATGGTCTGATTATTATTTTTTTAACTGGGAACATGTTTAGTCCAGTGTTATTTAAACAAACTTATCTCTTTGATCAAAGTCTACAATCTGAAATTTGAACGGGGTAGGGAGGGTGGCTGGGTGGGTGAGGTAATCTATCAAGTACATATTTATGAGTGTGCTGCTGTCTTAGCTGTGTGTCTGCAGAGGTACAAATGTATATTGCTTCAGAATAATCTTGCAAATATAAATACCTTTGGTCATTTTAGTAGAATTTCTGAAAACATAGTATTATTACTAAAATAAAACCAGTTTTAGTAAACTTTTCTTGAAGCTATTAGTGACCTGCATATTCATTTTTTCAGTTTCTTGGGTTTTTTGAAGGTTGAGCCAAATAATTGTGGGGTTCTTTAAGTATAGCATAGACTTTGCTAGTATTCAAAGCATACTAACTGGAGCCCATATATTAATGCATTTAGGGTTGGCATTAACCTATTTCATTGACTGAACCACAGACCACAGCAATAAAGCTAGAAAGCTTGAAACAGTTTCTGGAGGTTTTCATTTAGCTCATTCAGGAAAATTGGTTTGTGCGAAGTTAAAATTATATGGAATGAGATTGCAAGATGAAGCATGCATGCCACACCTTTTCATTATGTTCTCTCTTTTCCTTTTTTTTCTTTCTAAATATAACTTTGAGAGGCATTTCAGTTTATTTTAAAGCCAATCCCATTTGATCATTTTAGATTACTTGATTTTCTAGTCTGATTTCAAAATACAAGTTTGCTGAGCTTTTGTTCATAGGACTAGGAAAAAGAATATCCTTTATTCAATTAATGTGTCATGACATCAAATAATTATTTCCTAACTGTGGCAAAATCTGAATGATGTTTTTTCATAATTTTACAGCCTAAAAAGAAGCAGACAGTTTCTAGGCTTAGCTGAACGTTTTCCTTGCTTTTTAATGTTACTGTATACTCTAGTAACTGCAAGTTGCTATTGGTAGTGAAAATCAATTATAAATCTTTTCTTCTGCATAGATAACACACACCCTTCAATTTTGCTCACTAGCTTTATTGGCTGAGGCTTGTTACACACACATGCACAGGCACAGACACATGCAGAGACACACAGACGCGTGCGCTTGCACACACATTCTGCTTTGCCCTATCTCAGTTACAGCATAGTCCTACCCAGGGTCATTACAATGTACACATTACATATTTCTAGCAAACATAAAAACGAATCAAACAGGAGGAGAGATAAGCACAGATAGATTGGAGCCTGCTGAGGAAATAAAAGGCAGTAATCTGCCTAACCACTGAACTAGTCTTCCTGGTTGGATTTAAGCGTTCTTTCCCGTTAGCTGCTGCAAAGCGCTGTACCTTGAAGTGAAAAACTAAACGATTAGCAAGAATGAAGTAACATTTCGAGGGACAATTATTTGGTATAACTCCAAAGTGAATTGTTTCAGAAGTGATGTTTAAACCAACGCCGGCACAAGGCAAGAGTTCCTGGCTCACAGCCAGCACCTTGTAATGCATATTAGCACAGATGAAGAGTTCCTAAAAGTTAGAGAGAGGGAGAGGGAGGGAGGAAGAGAGAGAGAATGTGCATTTTCAGTGCTCACTCTACATTTGTTTGTATCCTCCTCCTTGCCGAGATTAGAGGAATACCTGTGTAGTGCTGCTTTATTATGATTCC